GGTGCGCTCCCTAAGCTTCCGGTTTCTGGTGCACGCATGCGCACTGGCCAGCTGGTCTTTGTGCCAGAAACCAGAAGACCCGGTGACTGGCGTGCATGCACATGCCAGAAACTGGAAGTTCAGCCTCCCACCACGCACATGCGTGTCGGGGAACTGCTCTTCCGGTTTCCGGCGCTCCCACTCGTGCGCACCGAGGAGCTCTTCTTCCGGTTTCTAGTGCTTTCCCTTTCCCACCCACCCCGGCATGCTACCATTTTGGTACTCAGTGCTGAAAAGGTTTGCCAACATTGTTCTAGACTAGAGTGTGGCTACCTGAATCTCTTCCTCCTTCCAGGTCTGGACCATGCAGTCTTTTGTCTTGCGTCTCATTCTGGAATGTGCTGCCTCCTCCCTGGGAGACTGCTGGGCTACTGTTGACATTCCCAATTCTTCTCCTTCAATTGCAGACTCCCATCATAGCACTTTAATAACTACTTGATTAAGAAAAACCAGAAGGTTTTACACAATTTTATTTCTACATATACATACATACATATTTATCATATTCTAAGATTTCCTCCCAAAAAATCTTTGAAGGTTAAGGTTATCGAGAACTGCACCTGGACATAAGGAAGACTATGTTTTTAACAGTGCTAGCCCATGCTCGTGAATTAAACAGCTTCACATGTCTTTTATGGATGTCTGAGAGGGCTGAAAGCCCTATGAAGCGGTATATAAGTCTAACTGCTATTGCTATTGCTATGAGTTTCGCATGTATGAATCGGTTTGTCATTTGGTTGACCTCTGTTTTTTCCTCCTTCCTCCCTGTTAGAATTGTTAGATTCTGCGTTTGTTGTAGGAGAGTCTTTAACTAGAAAATGGATCAATCTTCTGAAAGTCAACAGAAGAACTATCACTGAGAGAGCCACATCTTCCATAGAACCAGATACTGGTAAGTCAATTTTCAGGTCTGAAACTTCTTAGCCTTAACCATGGTAATGGCGATACCTATTGAGTGCCACTAGACACAGTGTGGTGATACTATAATGTCAGATTTGGGGGCATTCTCCCATTTTTCATGTTTTTTTCAAACATATAAGCCTATCAAAGCTAAATGCAATTAGAATACTTTAGAATAGAATAGACCTAGAAGGGACATTGGAGGTCTTTTAGTCCAGCCCTTTGATCAAGCAGGAGAACCTACACCATTTCAGACAAGTGACTGTCTAGTCTCCTTAAAAACCTCCATTGATGAAGCATCCGTGATTTCTGATTAATTATCCTAACTGTTAGGACATTTCTGCTTAATTCCAGGTTGCTTTTCACTTCGATTAGTTTCCAACCTTTGTTTCTTGTCCTGCCCTCTGGTGCTTTGGAGAATTTATTTTTTAATATAATTTTTTATTTTTGAATAAACATAGACAGACAAAACATAACAAACGCCACAAAAATATCTTCCATTACAAATTGNAACCTTTTCCTGTATTTTAAGTTCTAAAGCAGCTGCATGGTCTTTTAGAGCATCATTTAAAACTCTTTGCAGCACCTCTTGGGTTAAGGCTTCTCCAGCAGGAGGAAGGGGGGGTAGTAATGACTGTAATTTATTTGTTGGGGCTGGAGAGCTTCTAGCACTTTTAGAGGCTGTTGTTGTTTTAACTTGTTTTGAAGCCATTTCTTCAGTTAAGCTTATCTTCCACCAAATTATTAAGTCCAAAGAAACCGCTTATTCCAATTATTACTCCTGTAGCTTGCTAATAAATCACTACTGTTTTAAGTGATTTTAAGTTCTGTAGTAGTTTGTAAAATACCATTCAGCCCCGCCTTCAAGACTCCGGCCCCATTTTATATTCTGTCTCATTAGTTTTAATAGAAGGAATTTTTAGAAAATGGAGTTAAAGTTTATATATACATACAGTTGTAAATTCTCCGGTATCTGCTCTGCCTGCTTTGGCCTCAGATGTAAATCAAACGTTGAGCAGGGATGATCGTGAGCCTTGGTTTCTGCAGAAAGGCAGAATGAGTCCCGGGTGCGGAGTTTGCTGAGTTGCAGGGGGGCTCACACCTTCCACACCCCAGAATTATCTCCTGGGGGGGTTAATGGAGCTCTCCCCAAGCTTAGCAGCTCTCCCCTTGATAAAGGGTTATCAATCTGTCAGACAGCTGATATACGGTGTCCAAACAGTGTAATGCGATCTCGGGGCTGGAGCTACTTCAAATAGCAGCTTCTTCAGGCTACATGAGCACCAGAAGCCCTCACCATAACCTTTTCTGATGAGTTTCATTATTGTTCGTCAAGGCATGAAGATTGGCACTGCGAAGAAATGATAATTGTCCGAAATATCAGCAATTATAAAATGGGTGGTAGGTAGGTGAGGAAAAAACAATGATTTTTTAGGGGGGGGGGGGAGTAGATTGACACATTTTTTTGTTTTCTTTTTTCTATATATTTTTTTATTTTTGAATAAACACAGAGACAAAACACAACAAACACCACAAAAATATCTTCCATTACAAATTATAAAGTGTGTGTCAATTGGTTACAAAGAGCTTTTGTGCATCTCTTCCACAGTCATCACCTTCAATTCATATCAAGTTATATGTTTTAAATCAAATATATTTATATATATTACTATCATCATACCTCAATTTTCATATGACTATGATTATTTTTATGTCCCTTTATATAAAATATTCCAAAATTTAAAGCAAAACCACATGATGGCATTCCGTTATCTATTCTCAATGTCATCCAGCAACACTACATCTTTATGACACTTCTAAATAAAAAAATAATTATGTTTAATAACAGTTTCTAGACCTCCTTTCTTAATCACTGTTTACAATTTATATCCAATTTCCCTTTTATCATGTCAATACAAATATTACATTATTATCATTATCAATCATTTATTTAACAACATCCATCATCATTTCATTTTTATTTTTTATTTTTTTATTTAGAAGTGTCAT